TGCTGAACCAGTGGTATATCTAGGTCTCAGCACCCGTCAGCTGGGCACAGGCAGCTTAACTTGTCTCTCAAAAGATTCTTATCTTCTGATAATATTAAATGCTAGAGTTGAAACAAACAGCTCAGGAAAGGAGATAACGTGCAGTCCTGAGCACTACCCAAAAAGGAAAGAAGCTGGTGAAGGCTTCTATTTTTCAAGTTACCCATCATGAGATCAGCTGCTCTGACCTCCTGCATAATACAAGTCGAAGTTGTGTGATGTTATCATCAAGCGATGCTGATCACTTGCATCTCTTTCCTTAGATGTACCAAAGAATGGAGAACCCATTAATGCCTTCAACAGATCTTTTCAATGGTTAAATCATTCTCACTTAAACATTCTTCTTTCTCCTTTGAGCTTGCCAGAGCTCTTTCACCTACTGTTTCTATTGAACTATTTTAACCTGAAGAGCCTAAATGGAGGAGTATCTTCAGAGTTTTCTTTCCCAGAGCAAGTCCTCCTGCATAACTTAAATTGGCATGTAGTCCAGATACAGCCTTTAATTGCACAGATGGGACCTTATACGGCTTCTGACTTTCAGCTCTGTATGTATTTGGCAATATGGACTTCCACAGTAGACTGAATAAATGCTAAGTACACAGGCATGATGTCAATGTTTTATATGTCCTTAATTATATGCAGAAAACCTTCCTGTGCAAGAAGATGGACCATGTGGTGTTTATATGTGAAAGCATGTGTCTACAGTTATGTTTGAGAAAGAAGTAGAGTGATACTTGTCTAAGTTCATCATTCATAAAATCAGATGCTCAAACAAACTGGAGACACAAGACCTGCCAAATGTCTCCATGGGTGTGTGCATACACAACAAAGCACATCCAGCCACCACCACACGCTTCCAGTTCACTACACAACACCAACTCCTACAGCAAAGCCCACTCATACCACCTACAAGAGCTTTGTTCCTCTCACACAACAGTGTAGCCTGGTTAGCAAGGGAAAAGATGAGTATTAAAAAAAGCAACAATGGAGATGGCATTCGTTCACCCATGGCAGAAGGACCCGAGTCCAAGTGCTAGCAGGGAACATTCTTATTCTATATACAGGAGAGGAAGAGAAAGAGTCCCTTGTCATTGGAAATTCTCCATTCACCAGTGAACTCAAATGACAAGCTGGTGTCAGGATCCGGAGGAGTCTATGAACAACTGGAAGAATCAGAGAGGGGGATCAGGGAATGAGCATCACTTCACAGCTTCTGGAATTACATTCTCAACTCCAGATCAGGGCAGTCAGTAACATGCAATCCAACCTACCATCTCTCCTTCTAAAGCAAGGGATTGCTCAGTTAAGCATGACATACTTTCTTCCTCTGCTTCAGTGCTGTTCCCTACCTTCCCTTAAACCCTCATGCAAAAGGCAGAAAAGACATTAAGATAGGATATGACAGATTTCTTCAAAAGAGAGACCAATTCATTTCAGCCCATTTGGGGAATCCTATCGTGATGATCAGGTATATAGAATATTTTTCATGAGTGAAGAAATGAAACTGAGTGAAAGGAGAAAGATGAAGACAGAAAGAAGCATAAATACACTAAAAATAAAACCACAAAATAACACTAGATGGAGAAGCAGGGCCACAAGAAGCAAGAGCCAAAATACACAATAGAAGCATGCTGACATCCATAGGTGCCACCAGCAGGACTGGAGTCCCTGGGGCAACACTGAGGCATTTGTGGACAAGTGACTGTGGGAGCTGCATCAAGGTGCATAGGGAGGACTGGGGGCAGAGGCACCAAGAAAGTAAAACCATTTGCACACACCAAAGTCAGAAACTGGCCTATAATCAATATGGACTCAGCCACCTCTGAGCTGGATATAGCTTAGCGGAGAATATGTCCCCTCCAAACAGGCAGCACCAAGTATGAGCTGGGGCACTGTCCCAAGAGGAGGACTGAACTGCCTCTGCCATATACCATCACCACCCCTTGACAGGCTAGGTGTTTCCACCAAGAATGGCAAAGCTTCAGACATTTGCCACCAGCACCCACTGGAGAGGAGGTATTTTCCACGAGGGAAGTGTTCCCTCTGGCATGCCACTGAGGTGTTTCTGATTATATTCATTCTTTACTCTGCGATTACCTTCTCTTCCTCATAGGGAGGCCAAGTACCCAAGATAAAAGCATTCCCTGTTCCAGACTGATTCCTAAGTCCTGTTCAGGAACATGTGCTTAGGAAATGTACACAACATTATTACTATATTGAAGTGTGTTTGAAGTGACTGAACAGGAAAGGAATTGAGTTTCCTAGTGGGAAAGAAAAGCTGTGTAATTTGAATGCTCTAGACTGGAAATTGTTCAAGTTGATTACAGAAGCAATAAAAAGAGGCTAAAAAAATTCTGTTTCCCTGACAGCGATACTGCAATATTCTCCTAGCCAAAAAGCAACTGAACACCTTAGATAAAGGTCTCCAACTCACCTTGAAGAACTCTGGGCCAGGAGAAAAGGGGCAACTTCAGACTTTGGGAGCCCTATGCAGAAGGGAACTGTCACTCCAATCCTGTCATTTTTCTGGTGAACATCTACTTGTGAGCAGAAGCATTGCTATGATTGCTTTAATAAAGCCCTCAGGTACAAGGTCCTCTTCCCCCATTATTTGCACAGAGGTTTGTGCAGAGAAGAGGCTGCCCTGTTCCCGAGAGCTGCTTTGGCAATGCCTCATCTGTATAATGAGACCTCAGAGGACAACGATGCTCCTGCCTATGGACCCACTTCAAATATCCAAAGACTGTACCCACACCATGCACTCCATTCTCCTTCTATGGCCCAGGCAGGCTAAGTGCTGTCAAAGCTGCTACCCAAAAACTGGACATGTCCCACCTGCATGGAGCAGCATTTCAGGACTTACCTGGGAACACCAGGAGGAGCACGATTAGGCCGAGAAGGAACCTGAGGTGGGGGCCCAAAGGGATCAGGAGAGGCACCTGGCCTGGAGGGCACAGGGGGTGCACCACCCAGCGTGGACCCACCAGCAGGAGGTGGTCCAGGAGCTGGGCCTCGAGACCCAGGTCTGGCGGGTGGCACCGCAGGAGCTCTCCTCTGTGGCGTGGGGCTGGATGTAGGGGACCTGGCAAACAAACAGAAGAAATTCAACTGCAACAACAGGCCTGGGATCCCTCTACCACCACCAGGTCCCCATATGCTGCCTTCAGTGTTACTTGTTTAGTTTCACGTCGCTTTACGCACTGCCCTTTGGCTTTTGAGGACCATGCCAGGCTTCAGGTTGCCTTCAAAGCTACTTCAGGCCCCATGTATCCTAAGGGTTCAGAACCCTCCACATCCTCCAAAGATGTAGCAGTCCTATGTGGCTTCCAAAGCCTAGAAGCCTCCCAACACAAATAGCCAGAACTCTTCATCCACAGGGAGAAGAGGACAAGAGGAGGACTCCCTGTCTCAGTAGGAGGCCCCAGCTAGCCACTGAAGAGGCATCAGGCAGGTCTGTGGGGCTCTCCCCCTGAGCCTCTGGTACCTGCGTCCAGATGGTACGCTCTGCACCTGCAGCCAAGAGTCGTCCACCGGTGGGGGCATTGGGGTGCTGATGGTGCTGGTGTTGATGTCCCCGATGATGTTGAGGGCCTCTTTCAGGGCGTGGAACATGCGCAGCATCTCATCACGTCGCTGAGCCTGCTCTGCTGACTCCTCCATCAGTGTATTTTGGTCACCACAGGAGTACAGGTTTGCCAGCAACTCCGAATGGATAAAGTCCTTGGTCTGTAAATGAGCACAAAGAGGGAATCAGTTTTGACCCTCTCCCCCAAAACAATCCATTCTCTCCCACCATTTCCTCCTTCCAAACGGTCTTCCATTTTATTTCATTCTTTCTCTATTTTCCCCCTCCTCTGTGTCTCCCCACCTCCACTGACTACAGTGTGATAAGTACATTGTTTATCATGAGGTGCATGATTGTCTTCGGCATGAGGTCTCTGATGGTTTTGTTGACAATTGCCATGTAGGAATCCACCAGGTTCCTGATCGTTTCCACTTGTCTCTCCAGCTGAGGATCCATGGAGTGCATGAAACTGTCTGATCCATTCTCCTCTGCTTCACTGGCCTGCAGAGAAAAGGAGAAACAAATTGGTGCTTCAATTGTAACACAAAATTGGTTCTTCAGGAGAGGTAAGAGAAGAAAAGGGAACACAAAGGAAGCGCATGCAATAAATAAAACTTAAGCTTACATTCTGAGCTGTGATTGTCAATGCACAGCTCAGCTTGTACAGACTTCACTTTGCAACTGAGGAGCTTTAACAATAAAGCTGGTCTCTTGGTAGAAAGTTACTAGACAAAGGTGAAAGGCAACAGGGACTCCTGCCCACTGTTCACAGGTTATGGCTCTAGTGAATACTCAAAGCTGTATTTTTGCTTTTAGTGCTTAGAGCTTTCTGAAAGGTTCTTCATCTGAGCTGGGTTTTCCATACTCAGATTCAGTTTAGTCCTTAGAATTACTCACCATAAATTAAGCCTTATGGGCTGACACACTGCACCTTTATCTTCATTATACAAATGAGAAAACAGATACAGAGGTGAAGTAACTGCTCGCCTCAGTGAGACCACAGTAGGTGGAATAACCTAGAAACCCTTCCTGATCACTTTAATTGCAAATCCTCCATGGTAAGTCAATTGGCTTTTCTTTCACACCAAGCAGATGAATCTCTTCCTGTCTGCCTGCAATGCTTTGTTTAACTTTCTGTAAGGTAAAACCTGGACTGTGCTGTTTGACAGCAAGCAATCACCAAGGCTCTTCCATTTGGGATCGATTTCAAAGCAGCAAAGCATGAAAGACTGCTGTCTTTCTCAGTGCTTATTAAAGAAAAGGGCAACAAACCAACCTTTCTATAAAGAAAAATCTTTCTTGTATCAACCATCCCAGTCTGAAGGTTTTCTGCAGCAGTTGCTTATCTTTTGTTTTGGGGAACAAAATATAGGAGAAAGGGCAAATTCTTTTGTTCATTTGAGCTTTTCCTGGGAAGATCTTACATAATGCAAGGTCTTAGTGAGGAAAAAAAGAAAAGGAAGTGGGTGTCAAACAGGGCAACTTAAAAAAAAAAAGAGGGTCAAGAAAACCCCAAAAGTAAGTTTGCACCAAGATTCAGAAGTCATACAAAAAGAGAGAAATAACAAGAAAAAGGAAAACTCAAATCAAGAACAGAAACAAACAGCAGGAATCCAACAGAAGGTATGAAGAGGGAGAAGAAGCAAATGCCTCTCAGGAAACTGTGACAAAAGGAAAAAAAACCAAGAGAACTATCTGGTGAGAGCCCCAGGGGGCAACACAGCAGAGAGGGTCAGACTTACTTTGTCCTTGTCCTGTCAGGCCAGTTTGAGCATAGGTGGAAAAAATTAAAACAAAAAGGGACAAAAAATAAAAGACTTTTAATTGGTCTCAGAATTCGGAGAAGATCCCATCATAGCACTGAACAAGCAAAGACCAACCCCACTAAAATACATAAATACCTGGATTACCCTGGAAGAGGAGTAAGTTAATTGCAAAATGAAAATCAAGATGGGATGCACTTCAAGAAAATGACATTAGCAGCAACAGAGAGCAATTTACTTACCTACAATGGTTACTTCTTTGTTACATAGGGTTTGAGACAGTCATCCTAGCAAGCAGTTCTTATGTCAAACCACTCCATTTGCACACCAATAGGTGGCACATGTCCTTTACCAGTATGTATTTAAGAGGCCCAGTCTGGTTCAAAGCCAATTTGAAGTCATGTCACTGTTAAGGTCCAGTCCCTAATCCTCTTTTTTAAACACCACATCAGTTTGTCAGGAAATGCTTTAAGGCAAAACTCACAATCTTCAAGTGTAACAGGAAAGGTGAATGCAAGTCTATTAGAAGCAACAAATGCAAACAGATAAGCAATTATCACTTTTCTAATGGGACAACTATTAATAGCAGCTTCCTCTCAGAGGACAGGAAGGCTTTGAATAGGAACATATACCACAATTCTCTAGAATGTACTTTTAAAGCAGAGCATAATGCTGACCAGCAAGTGTTATGGGACAAGGCTAACGGAAGAGATAAGGGGTCTTGCTAAAACAGCACATCAAGGTATCTACTAAGCAAAAGAAAACTTCAGAAAACATCTCTCCCTGACTGGGTGAGGGAAGGAACAGGAGAACAACTACCACTAAGCCAGAAGTTCCTAAAAGGACTGTACAGTGTTTCTGAAAAGGAATGGTAACTTAGCTCAGCAGACACATACTGCTTAGTAGTCAGGTAGTTTAGTGTCCTTCTTAGATTGGGAATTTAATGCCCACAAAGCAAGAGAGCTACAAGGGTTTATCAAGGCAGTCTTTGCCTACTTGATCCCCCCTTTGAAGCTGTTACTTTATCCCAAGTTTCTTTAAAGGAAGCACCAGAACATACTAAAAACTTATATCCCAAAAGATTCCCAGTTCAGAAAAAGAGACAAAACCTTCACAAGCTTATTTGTAACACAAGAGGATGCAGCTACCCTTCATGAGATACATGCCGCGTTCCTTCTGATCCCATTGTTACGGCTGTAACTTACCCCAACACGCTCTGGGTAGACTCCTGCACGAAGGAAGGAAGCCTTCCAGCTATCCACCTCCTCCTGGGTCTCACAGGCCAGCTCCAGCTGCCGATAGTCCTTGTAAACATTCCTGAAAAGGGAGACAAACATTTAATGCTTCTCTACTGCAAATCAGAGATTTGCCCACATTTAACAAAAATGCCACTAACCAGGGACTCTTCACAGCCTTCTAGGAACTTCCTGGACTAAGGCAGAGATACTTAGCACCTTGCTAGTATCCTCATCATGACCTTGCAAAAGGGAAGGGACTGCCCCTAGATGAGCTGTGTGCTTCAACAAGGTATGAATGAGATTCTCTTTTCAATTCTGCTCACTGCTGCACTTCTCCAGCCAACCTGGGTGCCCCATCTCCTATGGCTTTCCCTAGTCACTCACTAAGAACATTGATTATAAATATATATCCCAGCCAGATCCAGGTAACCACACCAAACAGCTGAAGGTTAAGGTCACCCTGCAGGCCATGCACTGCTGAAGAAAAACAGTACACATATGTAAGACTAGAAGAAATGAAATCAGACTCTTAAAAGAAGTCTCCCTATCTCCTCCAAAAAGGGCTATCCTTAAGAGATACAGCCCTGGAGAGCTATCCCAACACACTCATCTCTATTCCCTCCTGTCTAATATTACATAAATCCTGTCCCTAGCTTCAACAGCTTGGTGTGTTGAGATGTGAGCATACCTCTGTTCAGTGTTGAAGAGAGCAAAGATGTGCTTGCTGGACATGAACCCCTTCTCAACATCTCGCAGTTTCAAGTTATCCACTGGTAACATATACTTCTTCTCTTTCTCCTGAAAAGGGAATCAGTAACAAGTCACTCACTACTCCAGCAAAGCCTTTACTCTGCCAGCACGGAGGAGTCTGTCACCAATACAGCCCCACATCACCAGGGCGCTCAACTCACCAGGTCCCTTGAATCTGTGAGAAAAAGGGACCTCTATATACAAGAGTTTGTCCTTCCTGACTGCTTTTGTGATGTGACCCAACAACCCAGGCCCATTAACTCCTCCAGGAGCAGGCAGCAGCATGGCATGACCCAATTGCTCAAGTTGTAGATCACCATCAAGGTCCTCACTCTTCCCAGCAAGGGGTAAATCAGCACCAAGACCCTCACCAGCCACTTGACACCTTCGTCCTCAGGACAGCATTAATGGTGGGGGTGGGGTGGGGAACTGCTGCTGGTCAGAGAAGGGACAAGCAGCCCTCACAGCCCCACTGCTGACACCTCAGTGTTTTACTTATAATCATTACAAGCCTATACCCAGGTCCAAGAAAAGCCAGGCATGTGATGGAGAAGCTGGTTTGACACAGATACAGACTGCATGATCTTAAAGTCACCTCTTCAGGAGAGTTGACTTTCTCCTTTCACCCTACCACTGTCCTACACTATTGACTACTACAAACCCTCTTAAAGTATTAATTAAACAATAACAAATATACATCCAAAGATCAAAGAGCAAGTCTGGCTATGAGAATACAGGTTACTGTAAGGTTACCTCAAGGCCTCCCGTGTTGGAAAAGGAAAATAAATCAATAACTATGCTCACTAATGAAAATCTCATGCTCCAAATGATTAGCAGCTGCAGCAATACAGGCAGTTTGCTGCTTGGTGAATGTTAAAAACCAGAGCCTGACATTTTAGTGACCAGATTCAAGAGAGCTTTAAGGGACCCTTTTCCAGAATAACTGTACCTACAACCTTCCAGTCTGGTTCTTAAGGGACCTCTCCAGCTAAACATAGAACAAGGTGTCCAAAAACCAACCTCAACATTTCTGACCCTAAATATCACATTTAACAAACAAACTTGAACTTACTTTTTACATTAAACATCCAAAAACTAAGGCAGAAATCATCCTCCCTGCGCAAATCCGACTGACAGCAAATTAACGCAAGCGAGTTTGATCTAAGGCCCCCATTTGGAACATCCTGTTCCAGCTGAGTATTATACCCCAACATAACAAGAGAGGGAGCCATCACACTGGTCTCCAAGAGGCAGAATGCAGCTATCCAAAACTGAAATAGAACCAGAGCATACTTCTGTGTGCAAGCATGCATGTGTGACTGTCCCCTTGTGAGCATCTTGTGTGTTTGTACACCTTTCTTGGCTGGTAGCAGTAAAACGTGATTACTCTCAGGGGAAACAAGAACAGAAAACAAAGATGGTCAGAGAGCAGAGATTAGCTAGGAAAGAGGGACAGGGCAGAGCAGCAGATAAGGATGACAAAGCTGCTGAGCTCAAACATCCAGGAGGGCAATTCCAGCCTAACATCCTTTTCAGTTTCAGTTAAATGGTCTTGAGTTTGCAAAGGATAGCAGCCACTCCACACAGTACAGACATAGCCCAAGATCAAATTAGACTAGTTCATTCCAAAATTTAAGCAACAAGAATATCCCAGAAGCCAGCACCTAGAAAACAGAAGAGCTCACTTGGGTACCTGCCAAACTCTCCATTCTCTCTCTAAGATGCCATGCTACGAAAGCAGGAGAGCTCTTCCAAGCAGATTTCCCTGGATATTTTAATATCGTTGATCAGTCTAGATTAGAGGTGGGCAAGTGTTTTTGTGATGGGACATCCGTCAGCCAGGTACTGGGCTCAGAGCCAGATCACTTCAGGCTCTGTAAGCCACAAACAGCTTCCAGCTTTCTGTTACTTTGGATTATTATGATGCTGGTTTAGATTGAACTAGTGACCTAGAAGTGAAGTACACCAACTACCGAGTCCCTGGGCAAGTCGTACCATCCCTGCCACAGCCTCACTTGACTAGAACTCCCTGCCATCCACCCCACAGTGTCGCTGGGCTAGTAGAAGAAATAACTGATGTTAAAGCTATCTGAAAAAAAAAAAAAAACAAAAACCATCCTACGTTAGAACCACATCATTCCATAGAAATCTAGCAATGGAGTCATTCTTCAGGGGAAAATAAAGAAGGCAAAAGGTAAGGGAATCCCGTGTCCCAGATAAGGAAATACATGCTCTTTGCCAGAGTTTAAACTTCCACCCTTTCCAAGCACTTGCATAAATGCTGCCATGTGATCAAGACAACAGCATCTCTGCATGCTGATCTTTCCATCCACCAGAGGGAAGATGCATGTATCTGTCTGCCAGCATAAAATATCACAGTCAAAAGGAGGACACAAGTCAAGAACCCCCCAGCTCACACATTCTGCAGGGCAATGCACAATGCCACGAGCCCCTGGGGCTCTCCATCTCCCCACACCTCCCCCTAACCAGTCCCCCACTTCAGTCTTTCCAGCTTCTCAGCTTTCAACCCAGCCTGTTTTATATCAACACTCTGACTTCATTTCCTGAATGTAGAGACAGGAAAGTGTGGAACGAGCTGCCAAGGGCTGAGCCTCTCAAAACTTTGGCTGAGCCCTCTGCCCATATGTTAGCAATCTGGCAGTATGTGCTATGGCTGAATAGCATCCTGGCCAAGAGGGGAAAAGGGTTTCTCTCTCTCTCTAGCTTTCCAGACTTGGAGGAGGGGAGAGAAGGAAGAGCCAGCACATATCGAAATGGGAAAGTGGTTTGTGAAACACTATATGAAAAGCCCTCAGCCTGATCCCAAGAGGCTTACATTCCTCATAAGCTATCTCCCTCATCTGTAAGAGGAAAAATCAGGCAAAACTCTCTCTCGGCAGCAGAGTATGTGTTATGCAAAATGTGCATGCTAGCTGTGAGTTAATCTATAGAGCCATGAGGCCAGGGAGAGATAGTGAAGTGGCAGAAGCATTTAGATTGGCCATAATAAACAGAACATGGATGCTCAGTGCTAGGAAATGTTGTAGGCACAGGGCTAGTTACCCATAATCAGGGCTGCTGTTCCCAATGGCAGTCACACTGCTTGCATGGAGAACTGCAGAAAGAGATGACTGTAAGCTACTTGCACAGGCAGAGTAAGTGCCAGAGGATTACTCTCCCACCCCCAGCACAGTGCAGATACAGCCAGATGGCTCTGTACTTTGCATCTACCAAAGAAAGAAAACACACATGGCCAAGGAGGAGACCAGGATCCATCAGACATTCCAATTGTGGGGCATGAAACACAATAGCTTGGAGGAAAAAAAAGGATGCTGCAGTTGCAGCTTGATGTTGCAACATACTGATTGCGGCCACACATCTGATGGTGGCTAAATCCTAGAGACTGGTTTGGGTCAGAGACAGCAATGGTTTCCACTATGATCTGAGTTATATGTTGCAATCTTGTAGGTAATAACCTACAAGAAGTTCACGAAATCCAGCAGGCAGCAAGCCAGCCTGATTTAAAGCATCTCCTCCATTCAACTGGGCTGCCTCAACAGCACGTTACATTTTCCTCCTCTTGGATATATGTGAAGCGAAGCTGACAGATGTATGTGTGGGCTCCCCTAAGGTTGGGAATTGGCACTGGCAATACAAGAATGTAATTGGCAGCATTATTAGGTCTCAGTTTGCTTTTGGAGCACAAATAAACTAATTAAAGGTTTCCCTGTAGCTGTTATGACAAACACATTTTGCACAGAGACAAGGGTCTGTGGGTATGGGAGAAAGAGCATTGCCATTGTTTCAACTGGTGGCCATGTGAAATGGGGAGAAATTCATCCTGCTTGAAGCTCTTAATCTCCTTTCCTTCTTGTAGGACAAAGCACTTCTTGTAAACAAACCTGCCCCAGAGATGAGGGGAGTTTCAGCCGGATTGTTTGTGTTAAACACGTGCACAGCACTTTGGGAACTCCTGCAAATCAAACTCTGCTCAAATGAAAAAACATTAATATCATAATTGATAATAACACACTGCATGAATGCATGTACATTGCAAGAGAATTAGGAAGAAGTCTCTGTAAAACTGGAGTATTTGAAAGCAGTATTGAAAGTATTCGAGCATTTTAAGTTGAACCACTCCCCATTACTGACTGCTTTCTGCTTGTCTTTGCAAAGAAAATGCACATTAGATGCTCTGTATTTCTAAGCTCCGATTCTTCCAGCAAGCCCTCATCATCCCACAACACACATGCACCTTGAGGCCATCTTTCTAAACCACAGCCCACCTGCATCACTTTTACCCTCAGAGCACAGTTTAGGAGACACTGATCACTGCTCCAAGCAGCTGCAATGGCTTGTTTACATCAGAAAGCTGCATTGGTTTAACTTAAACAATACACCCTAAGATTTTAAGCTGATTTACTTCAAAAGCCCTGTGGACATTAGGCCTGGCCTCATGTGATTAATCGCAGCCATCACCGTTGGCTTAGTAAGCAGAGCAATGGCAATCAACTCACCTGCACAAAAGTAAAGACTATTTACATCAGCTGAAATAGCTGTGTGGTTCAATCTGCACATGAAGTGCAACCCTTGGAAGCCATCAAAGGGTATATGAGAAAGCACAGGCAGAAACTGAGTCTCTTCAGAGAGTCTACAGTGCCCAAAATTCCACTGCCAAGACCTCCTTAGTGTCACAGCAATGCTCACCAGCCTTTGCAAAGAACAAACAGGCATTTCTTCCTACACCAGTCCCTGTGCCAGGGATGAACCACCCTCAAGTATTTGACTTGCTTTGATGAGGTGAAGTACAACACACTTGCAAAGTGTTGCACACCCCGGGAAACAGAGATGGTTGGTTACTCTTCCCCAGTGCATGGTTAGAGCCAGAGTGGGAGCTTTGGGCATTCATATTCTTGGCCACAAACCCTAGCTGTCCACCAGCATGTCCACAGGAGAAGGGGATGCTGGAAGGGAGGCGTGCGGCATACATAAAGCCCTCTTTATCCCTGCAGCACTAAGGGAGCAAACTGCACGGGCTAAGGCTAACA